AACTTTTGTATATAAAAAGCTGAAAAAGTGTGAAAATAGTATCTCTAGATAATCAAATGAAAGTGATAGATAGTCAATGAATTAAGAATAAACCATAACCGTTGAATATTATTAAATTAACGCTTCAAATTTGGTCAATTGGTCAAACTTTAAATAAAAAGCAAGGTGACATTTTGGTACATTGTGTACTTTTTAATATTCAGGCGATGACATTATGTGCAAATTCACAATAGTACATATTATTGTGCATATTACTTATTATTATTGTGCATGTCTCGATAACACACAGTCAACAAAGTATGACATGCAAGATTTACCCTTATACATTAATTTGTTGGTATTTTATTTTGTGGAATTGAAAAAATTATGCTATGTATTCTTGAACACTGTTCCTCTTTCCCTTACCCGACCTAATGTAATTCTTTCAGTCCTTTGAGCTAGCATAGCAGCTGATTTTCTCTAGCCTGGAGCCTGGAAAAGCAAAGTAACTTTGAGCTTGAACGTGTTTCAACTCTTGCTCACAATCCAACTGCTATTGAATCAGCGTAAGGAGATGCCGATGAGGGCAATAGAATTTCCTCTAATGGCCACTACTATAGAAGGAACCTACGGGTTGTACTTTTCCCGTTAGTCCATAAGGATTAGATAAACGTTAAGCTAGAATTTGGACCCTCTCAACTATATCGTCTATATCTGTGTACCCATGCTGACTCTGAAGTCCGCTTCTAAAACACGCATAGAAATGGATCCCGACAAGATTACAACTATCAGAGAAACGCCGACACCCAGAATGGATACTCGACCAAAGGGAGAGGAGGGCTTGTGAGACTTGACTGAAAGGAGTGGAGAGGCGAAGTTGAGGCGGCGAGGAAAATTGATTCTCTAGTCTTTCTTTAGCTTTGCAATTTCAACTCAGTTCGATGGCCCGAAGGATCAATATCACTACCCTTTTCCGCATAATTTACTAAAACAGTGATCTCATTATTGCCTATTCTAGAAAAACCACCCTATCTTCTTTCCTCATGGTCCTTTCGAATTAGATATTCGCTACACCTTTGGGAAAATTTGAATCTAGGTAACTAGGCTTGACCGATTCCCTTTCGTCTCTGCAAACATGAGAGATGGGAGGGCCTTGAGGGCACCAACCAACTATACGCTAACCTCTATGACTGAACTTCGCTTTGTTCGTTGGGTCGATTTCCACTGATCGAAGGTTGAAGCTTTGCAAGTCCAATCCTATATCAGAAAAAGGGGAGCTAGTACTTTCGTTAAACAAAGAAGACAAAGGGTTCGAGACTTCTGTAAGCCTTGCACCTCTATTGAGTAATGCCTGAGTATCAGCATCTAGATCTGACCCAAATTGAGCAAGGGCGGCCACTTCGCGATATTGTGCCAATTCCAGTTTTGAACTACCGCAGACTTGTTTCATAGCTTTCAACTGAGCGGCAGTTTCTGTTATAATTATAATTAGGAAAGAAAGGTGCATGATCTCGCGAATGACTTCTTAAGAAATTATATGTAAGAACCCTAGCATTTCGTGATTAATTGGCAAATCTATTTTGATGACTTTTGAATAATGTGTGTCACATTATTGTACAAATATGTGAATATATAGTGCAGATATATAAATTCAAATATGCATTATTGTTGTTCGATGCATCTGTGACGTTGGTTGGCCCAACCCCGTTTGAGGGCAACGATGAGGGTGGGGGTTACCTAGATGTGATCGCGGCGCCGAGCAAGGGTGGGAAAAATGTCAGTTATGCCATTTATTATTGTATAATCTTGACTTAATGTTGGCCATTGGATGTATCATATATTATGACTATTTTTAATATTTATCTATTTTACTAACAATTATCCTCTTATATTCCAGCTTGCCACCTGCTTGGTAAGGGTGAACCAATGGCGATTGGTTTAAAAATTTAAAAAAAAAATGGCTGGATGGAGCCGATCCTTGTGGTATAGCGTTTTTTACTTTTTTATGAGTCGTTTTTACTTTTTTTTTTATTAAAAAAAATGTTGACCCTTGTGGTAAAGCGGATCAAACATGACTACTTTTGGGTAAGTTGTTAATTGATTTTCGAGTTGAATTCTGTGATTTTTGGCCACCGGAGCTTCAGGGTGGAGAGGCTAGATGGAGTGTGATACCAATGGCTAGATGCGGCTTGGTTGGTTGCGTTGTTCCTGTTCAGTCTCTCCCTTCAAGCTTTGGATTCGGGGCGATTGGATTCAAGCTTTGGTCGGAGCATCTCCTTCTGCCAGACTGGTTGGTCATCCCGATTGCGGGTCTTCGGTTTTGGCCGGAGTCCGGTCTCTGGTTCCTCGGCTGTACTGGGGTGTTGGGTTGGGATTTATTCTTTTGGGCTAGGCGGGCAGGTGGTTGATTCGGGCGGAGTTTGTCCCCGCGGGCAGGGACGGAGTGACCGAGTTCTGAAGTCGTTCGTCCCCTTCCTCCTTTTTCTCGGCTTCTGGGATTGTGGGAGGCCGTCTGTTTCCGGAGTTGGCTAGTGGTGTTAGGAAATTTTGGGACGGTTTCAGATTGGCTAGTGGGGTTAGCCGGTTGGGGGCGATTGTGATTTCTTGCGGTCGGTGTGCTGGCCGATTTCTTTGGTTTGTTCTGAGACTATGGTCTTCGTCTTGCTAGGCCTTCTGCAGTGGCGGGCGTGGTACCAGAGCTTTGGAGCTCTCCTCGGAGCTGGCTTTGTCTGTTGTCTTCTTCGGACGTTTCTGCTGAGGGACACTTCTTGTTTAGGTTTATGTTTTATTTTTAGTTTTTGTTTATGTGTGTTGCGTTGTTTTGGTCTTGTTTGTGTTGTCAGTGTTTTACGTTTGGGTCGTTGGCCTCGGTTAGCCCGAGTGTGCTTTTATTATTCTGTTGGGACCGTACACTCGAGCATTACCCTGTTGGGGTCGTTTTTATTTTGTTTGTTTGTTTGTCTTTTATTCTCTCCTTGGTAGTTTTTAGAGTCGTCGTGTTTAGTTTGTGTGTCCTGAGTATTTTCCCGTTGGAGTCGGTTTTAGGCGGGCTTCGGTCCTGTCCTCCCAGTCTATTTCAATGTTGGCTGCTTGTATTCAACTGTTGGCTGTCTATATTCAGCTCGTGGCTGTAACTTTGCACATTTGTGCGGTTTTTTTATATAAAATTTCTATCGTTCCGAAAAAAAAAAAAATTAACCAGCAAATTAACTAGTTAAAAATGTTACCTTTTTCATAAACATTATTTTCTAAAATTATGCCACGGGATATATTAGTAAATAAAAATTACATTTTAACATAGATTAGGTTTAAAAGGATTTCCTTTTCAACAACTGTTGATCAGTTCGTAGCCGATCATAAAAAAATGTTCAAGTGTTCGTCCATAATTAGTGATTTTAAAACTATTTTTCTAATCGTAACCGATAAGAATTTTCTAGAATTAATATGTCAGAATGTGTATTAAATTGGCTGGAGAAAATTTCGTTTTATCACAGCCTTCATAAGGTTAGAGAATCTCCAATGCTTTAATGTTGTTATAGAATTAATTTTAACAAATCTCAATAAATTAAAAGATTTGCGAACTATGTAGAAAAAAAATAAGTTTATTACAACTATAAAATTAAAAAATCATCTCCAATGCACAATGTAGTTTAACTACAATATCATCTACTTACCAAATATTAAAATTTTATAATATGCAGTAAGAAAATCAATTAAATATTAAATAGTTTGGAATTGATAAAAATAATTCTCTTTCTTCTTCAATGGCTAATTAGAGTGGAGGAGAATGTTGATGAACCACATTCTTCTCTACATTGTAGACATTAGAGAATCTCTAGTGCTTTAATGTTGTTATAAAATATATTTTGACAAATGTCAATAAATTAAATGGATTGTGAACCATGTAGGAATGATGTTAAGTTTACAACTATTATATTAAAAAAATTATCTCCAATGTACAATGTAGTAAAACTGCAATATTATCTACTTACCAAATATTATAATTTTAATAAAAAGTAAGAAAAATAATTAAATAATTAAATAGCTTGGAATTGATAAGAATAATTCTCTCTCCCTACTTCATTGGCTACTTAGAGTGTGGAGGAGAATGTGGATGAACCACATTCCTCTCTATATTGTAGACATTACCTATGTCCATATCACCACAATATTTGTCATTACATTGTACATTGGAGGATGAAAATTTATGACTTTACTAAATGGATTGAAGAATGTAACTTGTCACAACAACATTTGTGCATTGGAGATGCTTTTAACTATATATGTGCACATCACCACAACATTTGTACATTTGAGGATGAAAAATTGTGATATTTTAAATCTGTTGATGTGGAATGTAATTTACCACAACAACATTTGGGCATTGGAATGCTCTATATCACATTGATTAGGACTGCAAACTAATCGAGTCTAGTTGAGCATAGACTTTATCAAGTGCAGATCAAATTTTTTTCTTCAATGCTCTAGCTNAAAAAAAAAAAAAAAAATGCTCGAGCACGATTCAATGTTCGACGAGGCTGGAGTTCGGCTCAAAATATTAACAACTAAACTTTAAATATAAGGTTACTATTTGAAATCGAAATAGAAAATTTTAGCCTTAGTGTTTAAATATTGGTAATGAAATTATACGGGGAATTTATATAAATAAAAAATCAAGCGACGTGTCGAGCTTACGGGCTTTTAAAATGATGCTTGGGGCTTGACTAGTTTGCTCGATTGAACTGCTCGAGCTTGAGTTTGATCGAGCTCGAGTCTAGCATTGACTTGAGCGCTCGCGAGCGGCTCGTGAGCAGCTCGACTCATTTGCAGTCCCCGCCTCAATCCTTGACTTGACTCTTAATTAGTGACCTAGAGTTCTGATAAGTATTTTTTTTTTAATGTAGTTACTTTATAGGTTTTGCCCTCAACTCGAGTGATCTTGTTTGTTAAGGGCTTGATTGTTTATGAATTATTTCATTCTCATATATTTCATACTCAAAATCTAACTCAACTTTAACTCAACCCCACTATCTTTAATATTATTCATATAATTAAATAATACAAACAAATCATTCTTACACATCACATCAACTTCAATTCACTATTCATCCACTCACATAATTTTAACTACCAATCATTTATCTCCTACTTCTACATCAAATCAATTTTAATCATTTTATTTTAAATATTATTATAATACATTCTTAAAGTTTCACTAACAACTAACCATACCACATTTTTCAAAAGTAACTATAGTTAACCAAAATAATTCATTTTGAACAAATTATTTCATAAATAATCACTCCCTAAGTCTTGTGATCACTTTGACACTTATATTTGGTAGCTCTCATGTTCACTTCGGTTTAATCCCTGAGCGTTTTTCTCGATTTGACTAATCTCGATAGTCATTGGTTTCTGCTCAACTTGGCCATTTGATAGCCATTTAGTTCTACTAGGTCGATTAACATCACTTCAGCTTGCCACATTATGTCAACTTTGTTTTATGGATTCTACTCGACTTGCTTATGTTGTATCCAATCTTGTTGATTCTATCAGATAGGGTTTGCAGTGTTGATCTAGTAATCGTGTTTTCCATCTTGATTCTACCTTCTCGACAAAATGCCAGTTATCTCAGTTGCATTGATCTTTCGCGTGTTGTTTCATATGCCACATCATATAAACTATCACCAAAGGGCCCTCAACTGCAAATGTGGGCGGGATAGGTTGAGTTTGAGGTTGCCTTTGTGAGAAAAAATCTGGTTTAAATATGTGAGTTTGACCCGATTTTAACTAATTTGTTATTTTGGTGAACAATAAGTAATATTATATTTTGGTGTAACTTTCAATATTACTATTATATATCTCTTCTTTTGGTTGAAAAATAATTTTATATATAGACTTTAAATTATTCATTCTTAATTTTAACCATCTTGAATAGCACAACAAAATCGAATTTCAAGTTAATTATTTAGAAGTAATATATAGATTTTGAATTTGTCTTAGAAAACAAATTATAAAAATAAACCATAATGCTTTAAATTATTTTGCGTTTTTATTTGTATGGAATCCATTAGTTTGATGCGGCTCTTTACATTAAAAATAATCTTATCTAAATAGTAATGTAGATTTATATTAATTTATCAAGTTATGTTACTTTTATTAGTTTTCATCTTAAATTGATTTTGTAATTTTTGTCATGTGCACAAATTGTACAAAGTTATCTATTGATTGAATGCAATGGTTTTTTAAATTTTGCCTTCATGTAAGTGCTAAAAAACTTACATGGTAATGTGTCTTATAAGTAGTTGTGGTATTTTATAATGAACATATATTATTTTTTTTATTTTTATTTTTTTGTAATAGAAGTACTGAACATATATGTATCAAATTATAAATGAAAAATCATTAGATGAAAATTCAAATTGTACATATATTATATTTTATTATCAATACAATTAATACGATGATTATCTTAAAAGATTAATATATACAATATAAACTTTATAT